GAAGTTGGAATAGCTAAAACTGACCTTTGTAGAAACTTTCATGCAGATCGTCGTACACAGGGCAATCCAGCAATACATGACATTCATCCTGAATACTTTCCTCACACTGAAAACACGCTCTTACGTTCACGTTCACATTAATATTCATATTCGTATTTGTATCTGCCTTTTTCTAACGTTTGAGGAGCAGTACCTGATTTACATTTGGAGAAGGCAGAGCCGTAAGAACGAGGCATATACATACTTACATAACTCTCACACCCATACAACATTTCACACGTACTTAATTTATTACCAGCCATTCTCCCTCCAAGCCTGCATAACAGTTCATTCCAATCAGACACATACTTTCCAATGCAGACATCATGCACACGTACAACGACACTTTTCACGCTTACATTCTCAGAAATATTCACACCCCATTCGTTCATGACTTTGCCCTTACTTGAAATTTCCTGTTGTTTTTTTAATCTAAAGGACATTTTTTAGCTTAGTAAAACGACATAAATGTCTAACAAAATTGGAGGAATCCATCCCATATCATCATTAACAGCAACATTTTGAGCGTATTTTACCACCCTAAGAAAAATGTCAAAGCACGATGGTGAACGGCATTTACAGAACAAATGTCACGATGACCCAAAATAGATGTCCCACAACTCAAAACTGGCCAAACCATGTTATCATACAATTTGGAATAAGTAGTGGCTGCATACCTCCGATTGCCTTATATTTACATATAAGAAGACCTCATGCTCTGTTAGCCGATTTAGCTGCTGCTGCTGCTGCTGCTGCTGCTGCTGCTGCTGCTGCTGCTGCTTCTGCTGCTTCTGCTGCTTCTGCTTCTTTTGCCATAGCGTTGTATAGTCAACATGTTCCATGAGCAGTAGGCCTAGATAATTATAACAATCAACAATGTCTAAAACAGAGTTACCAATATTTAAAAAGGCCATTGTTTTGGTAACGCTTCCATTTCTAAAGTGTACCATAATTGATTTGTCATTATTAAAAAAGATACTATTGTCTACACACCAAGTATTCAAAACGCAATATACTATGATAATAATCTATGTAAGAAATTCAAATCCTCTTCCGATTCTGCAAGCAAAATAAGATTGTCAGCATAGGCAAAGACTGCAATAGCGATATCATCCAAACAAATACCCAAACCAGTATCATTTAGCTTGTCCAGGAAATCAATAATAAAATCGTTTTGGCGACATTAAGCATCCTTGTTTTAAACTACGATTAACATTGAACCAGGGTGTAAGCATACCAATTATACTACACTGCATTTGACATTTTCATATAAAAATTGAAGTGTAAGAAACAATTTTACATCATTTCTCCCACAGCACACCTCTGTTAATGCTATCATACGCTTTATGAAAGCAGAAAAAGAGTCTTTTTAATACCTTGTCTTGTTTCAATAAAAGAACAAACAGAGTGAATATGATCCGTAGTTGATCCACGCTTCCAGAATGCATTTTGTGCATCATTTAGAGCTCCTGCACTTTCAGGCCAACATTGCAGACGGTTATTTAAAATATTACAATATCATTCGTACATAGAATTGGTGAGTCAAACCCCTAGACGATACGGATCTCAAGAATCTAAAGTAGAACACTTTGGTATGCAGGTATTTTCCCTGTGTTAAAACGGATATTAAAAGTAATGTGCATAGCCGAAACAACATTTTGTGATTTAAGACATTCTATTGGGATACCAACAACACCAGGAGCCTTGCCACAGTGACTTGTATCAACCGCCCTAGTTACTTCAAAGAAAGTAATTTTAGCGTCGAGCAACACATGTGTCACCAGGCTCTCACAGGGATCTGTTTTCGTCTCTCCCCACCTACCCCAATCTCACCAATCTTCTTCCAGACTATTATTATCCTCCCACATTTCCTCCAACCGTTAACTAGCATACATTCGTTTGACGTGTCTACCGTGAATATTCTGAATCAGCGCCCTTGATGCTTGGGCATGCTAACAATCCCCCCTCGACCCCCACCCTGGGCAAACAGATTGCAAAGAAACAAACGAGCAACACTTTGTATATTCCCACGCATTGCCGCAGCATTAACTCTACCAAACTGATAAGGTATATGGCTCTGAAAATTGCTCTACATTTATTAGTTCTGGTTGTAGGGTAGTCGGTAACGTGTCGTGCTTAAAACATGAAGTTCATGGGTTCCAGTCTGCCAGGTTCCTTTTTTCAGGGTACTTTTATAGAAATATACATACACAACTGAATGAATCGTCTACCGTGTCGTAAAATAAGTCATGAATAGTGTTCTTGGAAAACATAAGTAACGTAAATGATTTGTTTGCTGCCCCTCAAACCTAGGATCGGGCTGGAAGCCGCACTATGAAGCTTGTTTTCTGTGAACGGCTATTTTTCAGATATTTTTCTGCCGCTTCTCTCAGTTTAGTCACATCAACACGCCTTCCCACGTCAAGCACAGGCCGACACAGCTGTTTTTTAAATTTCACCCAGTTCAGTGAATCAACAACCTCTTACGACAAGTTGGTTGGTTGGTTGGTTGGTTGGTTGGTTGGTTGGCGGATGTGTTGTTTAACGCCGCACTCAGCAATACTCCAGCTATATGACGGCCATCTGGACCAGACAATGCAGTCATTGACATCATGAGCATCGATCCAAGCAATTGACATCGATGACATGCATCAACCAAGTCAGTCAGCGAGCCTGACCACCCAATCCCGTTAGTCGCCTTTTACGACAAGCATTGTCGCCTTTTAAGGCAAGCATGGGCTCCTGAAGACCTATTCTACCCCGAATCTTCACGTTGTAAGCTCCGTCAATTACAACAACGGCTGTTTAAAGACCCATAAATAACCAATTATAGATATAAATATCCTCAGGAGAGATAATAGCCATAGCTGTTATACCATTATTGTATGGGGGCGGGGGAGTAGGGAAGATGCAAAAATGTTACATAAAATGTGTGTGTGTGTGTTGGGGGGAGGGGAGGGGAGGGGAGGGGAGGGGAGTGTATTGATGTTCCGGGCCAATACACATGACTTTCCCAGCTGACAATGATCTGTTAATGAATGAAACTTTAGTAGCTGTGATACCATGTATATTATGTCCAACAAAGTGCAACATTATCCTGAGCAAAACGGCCATTCAGCCTCTCTACCCCACACTGTATGAGTTTTAGTCACCGCCTTTATTAAAACAAGTTCACCATGTAGAATGTCTTCATTAATACAAGTTCACCATGTAGAATGACTGCACAACAAAGTGTTTCAAAGCTGTCTTTCATCACTAACGCACTATTTCACTGTCATATAGGGCTTGCTTTTGCTTCACATCCACCAGACTAATGCTCATTTGAGGCACAGCTCATACAAACTTACAATTTCCACCATTAGATCACAAACTTCGCAGTAAAACAAATAAACCATTTATGTTTATAAATCAATTAAAGCAATTATTAATTTATAGTTCAAAAAGTGCGCTGAGGAATGGTGATATCTATATAAATATAGCATACAATATTCCACAAATATTATTCATACCCAACAAAGAGTGTCTCTCTTTCTGTTTTCGAATTGAACAATAGTATCTGTTTTTTGTGGTTTAGGCATCTTTTGCGTATTTACAAAACTTGAAATACCATGCAACGTGCAACGTACGTCTGGTCTTCAGTTTTAGGCCCCAGGAAGGAAACCTGCACTGGTGGTTAACGGGACATGTTGCGAGCTTATGACCTCCAAATAAATTACCCCACGGCCAGACAAACGATCCTGTACGCGCATAGGCTAGAATGTATTATTTCACAGCTAATGTGGCAAGCAGTCATCTTATTCATATCGCGCTATATCCGAACGTTTATTAATAGAAAGGGTGTTTTCCAGACAGTTCACACCCGTCTGCAAATCCGCTTTGGGCTGCTTTGGTTTTTTTTCGGAAGTTCTTATGTCTCCAGTTTCACTTTGCAGTCTCTTGGCACTCCCTGATTTGGCCCAGGGGCACCCCCAGTGGGTGCAAACGCCCTTTTTGGAAAGAACTCTTTTTTTAAAGAACTTCTTAACAGTTACATGAACCCCCATCTCAACTCTCAACCCTCAACCCTCGCCAATCGAACCCCTCCCTTTTCACCGGCCGACTAATCGCTTTTCTCCCTTTCCCTTCTTTTGCCTCCGTTATCCAGGCCCCGCTTTTACCCCGCTTTTCTTCCGCCGCTTTCGCTTTCGCTTAATCGCTTTTCTCCCTTTCCGTTCTTTTGGCTCGATTACCCGCCCCGCTTTTACCCCGCTTCTGCACCCCTTTCAACCCGCTTTTGCTCGCTTTCACCCAGATTTCTGGCTTTGCTTTCAAACGTTAGGAACAAATATTGTCTTACATTTCATAAACAAAATTCAGAAAATTTCACTACAATTTCGAAATTTTGAAATTTTGAATCAAACAAAATTTTCATATGTTCATTTTACCCATAGTTACGGCTTCGCTTTCAAACATAATATCTTGTATTTCATTTCATCACATTTTTTAAGAAAATTTCACAACAATTTTTTTTTTTTAAATATAGAATTATAAAGTGTTCATTTTACTTCCTTCACTATGTGGCATAATTTGTTTCTTGTTTTCTTGCGATTTCCTCTTGTTGTCCTTCAATGCAGTTTTAACTCTCTTTCCACTTTCCACCTGGTCTGCAGGTTTCATACAGTTATATACACTTTTCTGTTTTCTGTAAAACAAGTCATTGCATAATTATACTTTATTTTCCAATATATTAAATAACATTTTTTCATCGTACATTTTTTTCTACTTCTTTCTACTTTTCACACAAATCCACCACGTGACTACACCGGCTACACCGGCTACACCGACTGCGCCGAACGCCAAAAAACGCAGTTTGGACAGCCGGCACCAAGCCACTCGGAAAAGCAACCGGCAAAGCACCGAGGGCATCTGGGCATTGCACCGACCACCAAAAAACGCAGTTTAGATAGCCGGCACCAAGCCACCCGGAAGGAAACAGCAAAGCACCAATCACAAGCGAGATCACTAATGCCAAAGGCCGTCATTTCCTCCCTCCATCGGCTGGCCATGGCGGAGCACGGAGCTGAGTGTCGCTGGCTGGCATCGCCACACCCAAGCGTGCTCGCTCGGTCTCGTCGCATCTCCATCTCCATCGACGGAGAGGACAGTTATGCACATGCATCTGAAGGTAAGTTCATTCATATATTTCACTCCACATCTTTTGTTTATCGCACAGAGCGGCCATTCTGTCGAACAGGGACGAAGCACGTTCCAAATCCCCTTGGCTATTTGCAAGTTCGGAATTTTCATCACAGAAATTGTCACCCGTTTTTGCCGCTCTCTGGTGCACATTGCAAGTGTTTTCGTGGCGAAGAAGCAGGCAGCGTGCTCCCTGTATTCTTGTAAGTATGTTTGTATGACAAATGCGTAACTTCACACACTGACCACGCCCTATAACAGTAACTGTACCGTATTTCATCCCACAGAAGAACTGCTCTATGTTATCATTAATCAACATGCACCATTTACCACACCCCTCAGTAAACAAATCTAAGTATTCAACTACCGTATTTCCTACAAAAACACATCCCTTTATTATGTATATGTGTTGTATATAGTACTTTTTTTTCTGTTGGAAATGTATTTGTTCAAAGCCCCGCCCCATATTCAAACTAATACTGGTCTCTCATTGCTGGAAATCTTGCAGACAGTAATTCTTTAAGCATGTATCACTTGTCTCAGCAATGGGCAAAGGGGAACATCTGTGTCATTCTTCCAGGTTCAAGCAACTTCGCGTTACCTCATGACCAAATGCGTTTACCTCATCGGCTGATGCAGCTTTGTCAGCCATGTTCTTATGAATACAAATATACTGACCCAAATCCCCTTGCTGTTTTCTGGTTTGTAATACAATATATGGTCCAAATAAGGCCGCAATATAAGTCATGATGTAGGTAAGGTAACCTAGACTTTCCCCAGTACCAGATCTTGTAGGTATTGAAGCTTGTAGAATCAACATATAAACTACCTCCCTGGTTGTTGTACACATGGTGTCAGTTATACCCTCTATATCATCAGGTACATCAATTCAACCTCCCTTAGTCTTGTAATAAAATCTGTCCTGGGTGTATGGGAGACAACTCTGATTGTCTTGTTTAAATAGTGATTTGCAGGGCACTTCAATTGAACAGTAAAGTTATAATGTAATGCTTTTCACTCAAAATCCATTTAGTATAATTCATGTGTAATTTCTTGTTATCCATAATTGATCATAGTAAATTTTGGAGTATTATTCTGTAGCATATTTCCATGTAAAACACTTGATCCTTCAAGTAGTGTTTCTGTCAAACTCATTTCCCAGTACATGCTGCTTGAAGTATAGTTACTATTCTTGTACTGTAAATAATGGATAATGTTTTTTATTGATAGGTTTTATGGTTCCCATGTTAATTGAAACTTAATAGTGATCCTGTTAGCCATTCCGTTGATCAATAACTATTGTAGAAGGGGGTCATGTCATTTAGACCAGTGTTGACATAAATAACAGAGAGCACTAAGTTGGTACATAGACACTTTATTGTAACTATGCCTATAATAGTCGATGAGTTTGTACGTTGTATCCGTTGCGACATGCCAAGTTACAAACTTGATGACAATACAAGTTTTGTCTGGCATGTGCTTACGAATACAGAGATACTGACCCAGATTCCTTCGCTGTTTTCAGTCAATCTGAGTGATTGTGAGCTGGGTAACATATGCATCCATTATGCTCCATTCATTGATCAAGTTGTTTGTCTTTACTCCATTGCTGCTGTACAGGCCTGCCGAATCGGTGTCACACGACCTCGTCCCTCTCCCCGCTGGCTCCCTCCTCCTCCCAATCCTGTCATGTTCATTGTATCATCGATTATTACTTTTAACATCTGCTTTTTCTTCTTCTAAAAACCTAATGTATAAGTCAATAATATTGTTGACATTAGTGTTTGAGTGTAACCATGGTAACGGTTCTGTAATTATTCCAGTATCACGAACCATGAAAAGTGACATCTTTATTGAAACCTTTATGTCTAAATTTCCAAGAAATTGATGTTTTTGTTGGTTACCAAGGTATCAGAGCATTTAGAGTGGTGGAGTAATTATGTTTTAACTTGTTTTGGCTGTGATTCCCTTGTGCTCATTGTGTTGGACATTGTTGCAGACCCAAGATGGCTGTGTGGCGCCGACACAATCTCCTGACACAACTTACCTGAGTGACACAACTTACCTGACACAACTTACCACAGCCCTGATAATTTCTTCTTTATGGAACATTGTGAAAGGTAGGCGATTTTATACTCTGGTCTCATTCTACTCCATGATATCTTTTATGTGGTATACTGTATTTGCGGTATTAAGCACCCCACTCTATTAATAGCAAGGATTTATCTGGAAGTCCAAAACCCTTCTGTTTGTTCCCTCGGCCGTCAAATTGGGAAAGAAATTGTGTTATTGTTCCAAATTTGGGAACTTCAAATTGGAAGTTGTACAGTCTTTTGCTGCAGACTTGTGGTCAAATATTGATTTACGTGACAGGTCCTTTTTTGTGTGTGTATGTTACAGCAATTTTGAAGGAATAACTGTTATTGTCAACAATGCAGTTTACTCGGCCAGGCTCAATTAGCGCTAACTGGCTAAGGCTGCTGATAGTGACACCCACTTCATAGGTTTTGTGTTCCTCTTCAGTCATCAGGACAAGTTGTGGTTGTGTTTGTGTTAGGGTACATTACCAGCAACTATTTCACATCAAGCACCCCTTTACGATCATTGGTTAGCCACCCCTTTACAATCATTAGGGTTATGTACCCCTTTACAGTCCTTAGGGTTAGGTACCAAGTTTCCATCAAGCACCCCTTTACAATCCTTAGGGTTAGGTACCAAGTTTCCATCAAGCACCCCTATACAATCCTTAGGGTTAGCTGTGTGGTAGGGCATGGGTTAGCTATCTCTTTAAGTGATCCAAAGTAATTTTTGGAAAATCCATTCCATTTTTATCAAGTTTCGAGCACCGCTACGTCTCTGACAACAAATGTAACTTGTGGTTGGTTTCAATAAGCGCGACACTTTGTCAATTTGCCAAGCTCCCAGGGTGCTTACTACAGCTAACATTTAGTTCTATGTTTATGTTTTTGTTTCAATTGTCTTGCACCCATGGCAACATATGATACAAAGTGTTCCAGAGAATCTCTTCATTTTCAGGAGAAATCTAGAGTTTTTCCATTGTTTAGTAGACTTGCTTGGGAGATTTCGGTTATTTCTTCTTCAGTGTCTGTAGGAGAGACAAGTGCAGTTGTTCCTGACAAAGTATGACACCAACATCTGAAGTGTTTCAGCAGTGCATGTCCCTTTACCTTGTCTATATACCATGTCCATAACCCATGTCCATAACCAATGTCCGTATACCATGTCCATATACCATTTCCATAACCCATGTCTATACACCATGTCCGTATACCATGTCCATATTCCTTGTCCCTATACCATGTCCCAGACTTGTTTATTTACTGCCTTGGTGATGCTGGAATATTGCTGACTTCATTGTTTAACTTTCATTCACTCACACATGTGCTTATAAGACTGGGAGAGAGCAAGGTTGGTGCTTCAATCCCCTGGTGGGACGGTAAAGGGTGGTGCTTGTTGTTTCCTTGCCTGGCACTCGGCATTAAGTCTAGACTAGTACAAGCAGCCACAAACATACATGTGCATGCACGTCGCTATATAGGTGCAATAATCTTGGACGCGACGTTAAACCCCATTTCACCTCATCTCACCTCAATGGGAGAACTCCCAACTTGAACTAATTGTGTCACCAACATCTGAAAGTATTTCAGCACTACATGTCTATCAGCCTGTATGCCGTGATATAACTGGTAGTGTGTTCAAAGCAGCGTTAACCCTCACTCATCCCATTCTCAGCTGTATCAGCCTGTATGCCGTGATATAACTGGAATACTGTACAAAGCAGCATTAACCCTCACCCATCCCATACTCATCTTATACTCATCCCATTCTCAGCTGTATCAGCCTGTATGCCGTGATATAACTGGAATACTGTTCAAATCAGCATTAAACCTCACTCACTCACTCACTCTCACTCACTCACTCACTCACTCACTCACTCACTCACTCACTCTATCATCTGATGCCTATCCCATTCTTGAATCTAGCCTGGAATTAACACGCTTGGGTGGTTTCTTGTGGAATAATGTTTATTCAACCGTATGCATAACTTTATTAAAGAGGCTATATGTAAATCTGAAAATGAATGCCTGGTTTGGCCTGATTTTGTTTCTAAGACCTATATCACATCGTTGAACTCAACTGTACTCCTTCAGGATATGGGATAAACAGCATGAATGTAATTTCAGTAACATTTGACAGAAATATGATGTCAGCAATAAGTCCCACATTTACCTTCACATCTTATGTTTTCTGTAATAACAAATTATTGCCTAACTATTCTTTATTTTTCACATCAACCATTGTCTCAATTAGATCTTCTTCCTCATAGGTCAACTCTTTTCTCCTCGTTTCCACTTTTCACACAAACCCGACACATGTGGACGTCCGCCCAGCTCATGGTCTCCATTTCACCCACTACTACACTTGCACAAGTCTCTTAGAATATGGTCATTAGTTCCAATTGTAATTCCTTAAATACATCAATAATAGCACATTGTTTCTATAAAAGACTGGCCTCGTTGTAGACAAGTCCATTATAATCCATTATAATGTACTTATCATTCAGTAGAGACTTGGAGCAAGTCTAACCGACCCCCGCCTTTCCGTACCCGGAAGCAGCAAGCACCAATCACAGGCTAGATCACCAACGGCCTCCATGAGCTGGCCACGTGCACGTTTCTTGTGCCCGGCATCACCAACATGCTGGTTCTGTCTGGTCAAATCTCCATCGCTGGTCAGGGACAGCTGTAAGTTCCTTCGTATATTTGACTCAACAGTTTGTATTTCTTGCATGTAGCTGCCATTCTGTCAAGTAGGGAGGAAGCATGTTGGAAACCATGTCACGTGCCTTGACCGTTCTCAGGCCTCCAAGACATTGTCTCCTGTATTTGCCGCCCCCTGGTGCGCATTCCAATTGTTTTTGTGGCGCGGAAGCAGGCCCCGTGCTTCCTGTATTCTTGTATGTATTATAAGTGCGGACCTTCACACACTGACCATGCCCAAACAGTGTAAACAAACCTAAGTATTCAACTACCGTATTTCTTACAAAAAACAATTCCTTTATTATGAGTATTCATTCATTATGCTCCATTTATTGACCCAGTTCTTTGTCTTTATTCCATTGCTGCTGTACAGGCCTGCTGACCCGATGTCACACAACCACGGCCCTCTCCCCCCTGGCTCCCACTCCCAAGGAAACAGTTCATTGTCTCATCTTTTTTATCTTTAAAATCTTTTCTTTTTTTCTAAACACGTAACCTTAAAGTTAATAACGTTGTCCGCACTTGTCATTCATGTTACCAGTTGATTGTAACCCTGTTGACAGTACTGTAATTTTTCTAGTACCCTGAACGAGGAAAAATCCCATATTAACACCTTATTTATAAATTTCAGTTAAATTCAATTTGTAGTTTGATATCAGGGCATTAACATTTGTATATTAATTATGGTTTATCTTTCTTCCTTTGGCTGTCGATTAGTTGTGTTCATTGTGTTGGACATTGTTGCAGACCCAGACCAACATGGCTGTGCGGCCACTGACATCACCTCTCCACACATCCTTCTGACACAGCCTCCTGACACATCCTTCTGACACAGCCTTCTGACACAGCCTCCTGACAGCCTCCTGACACAGCCTTCTGTCACATCCTTACAATCCTCACAGCAACTTGATATTTACTTCAAGATGGAAGATTGTGTAAGGTAGGTGATTTTATACCAATGGTAGCAGCTGTATTCGCCATATTAAGCACCCCGCCCTGGGAATACATTCGCATGGTAAGGTACTGTTTTGTTTGTTTGTTTGTTTATTTTACATCACTATATTACTATTAAGGCCAGACACGGCACCTAAAATTGACATAACTGCTTCAATATGTCAAAATCAAGGTTTTGATTTTTTTCGCATATATAATACATGTACTTTGTGATGCAACATTTTTTTTACGATATTGTGTACATTTACTGAATAAAAAACGTTATTAAAATCATAATGTGTGGTATTGTTTTTAAATATGATCGTAATCAACGTGGAAAAACCTGAACTTTCACTCATGACAACGCCCCCGTAGCTGTAACGAACCCCTTCATGTTATACATCGATAGAAAGCTGATCGTTTCCGCCATGTTTCTGTGCAAAAACATTCTAAAAATAGATATTCCACGTGAGGCTATCGTCACTTTTCCCGCGAGTGATTTTGTACGTAAACTACCATTTAAGGAGAAATATCCCATAATGCAACATTCGGGAATATTCGTTCGATCCAAATAAAGTAAAACATATCCCACAATGCACCATTCGGCTTAGCAACAAAACTTCGGCCTTTTCCGGTAGGTATACAAAATGGCGGCTGCTCAGCGAAAAGTTTGACAGGTAAACATCGTTTTTGATATTTTCTTGACTGAAAATTGTTGTATTTTTTAAAAATGAGGGCAAAACACGGGGCACAACACGCCTATGGTAAGAATAAGAGGCGAAGGGCAAGTCAGTTGAAGGAGGCACGTTCGAAATGCGGTGTTAGAGTTACGACCCGTGTTGACAGCGCGATCGACCCTGTGTCAGATTCTGACAGCTTTGACGTTTTGGATACATTGGAATCATCCGGGGACCACGCCGTTGAGGAAAAAATCCCCGTTGGAGACAATGAAGGTGAGAATTCTTTTTCATTGAATGCAACTTCACGCAGCGACATAAAATTATCAAAATTTAAAGCTGGTGAAAATATCAAATCTCCCGTGCTTGACAATGAACCCAAACCTCAATGGATGTTAATTGACATGAGACAAATGAATTTATTTTTTCAAGAGATTGATTGCCCATCGTGTCACGAACAGGGGTCTTTGTTGTTTGAAAAGAGCGACAATTTTGATAGATTTGGATTTGCTGTAAATATTATGTTGACATGCCAAAACTGTCAGATGTGTGTTGACAAACATTACACTTCACAAAGGTCAGGTAATAAATCGGGTACCAATCCCTTTCAGGTGAATGACATTTTTATGCTCTTTCTGTCAGAGGTAGGACTTGGACATGCTGCTATGAAAAAGTTTTGTCTGGTTTTTGGAATGGAAGGTCTCCATCCAAAGACATTTCAACACAAACAAAACATTCTTTCACAGGTTGTTGTTGAAAATACTGAGGAAGTTTTGACTCAGAGTGTTGAAATTATCAAACATGCTTATGGTGAGCAACAGACAGTTTCAAATGATGTACCTTTAGACATTACTGTCAGTTATGACGGATCATGGCAGAAGAGAGGCCACACTTCAAATTATGGTGTTGGGGCGGTTATTGATGTTTTGACAGGTCTAGTGATTGATTATGAAGTCCTGTCAAAATACTGCCATGCATGTACCCTTCATATCAACAGTCTAGGACAGGACACCACAGAGTTCAGACAGTGGTATGAAGGACATGCTGGTAGGTGTTGCCAAAATTATGAAGGTAGTTCCAATGCCATGGAAGTTGAAGCCGCTAAGAGGCTATGGTCCCGTTCTTTGGAAAAGCATAATATACGTTACACATGTATACTTTCAGACGGTGACAGCAAAACCCACAAGGCAATCAACGACCTTCAACCCTATGGACCAGACATCAGTATTGACAAGGAAGACTGTGTTAACCATGCTCATAAAAGGATGGGCACTGCTCTTCTGAAATTGTCAAAAGAGTTGAGATTGGGTGGTAGGGGCAAAGGAAAGCTGACTAAAGACAAAGCTCTTAAATTTCAGTATTATTACCGCTTTGCCATCACTAACAATGTTGGTAACATCGATGGTACAAGGAATGCAATCTGGGCAAGTTTGTTTCATTGCATGTCAACCGATGATTCTCCCCATCACACTAGATGTCCCACTGGTCCCTCAAGTTGGTGTTTTTATAATAGAGCACTGGCTAATGATCTTGAGCCTCCTGCTCACGCAGACAACATCAGACATTTTCTCGATGCAGAAATTGCAGAAAAGATGGTACCTGTGTATCAAAGAATGTCTGATGAAAACCTCCTTAAGAGGATGGTGAAAGGCAAGACACAGAATGCTAATGAATGCTTGCATTCTGTGATCTGGTCCCGTTGTCCGAAGACCGTCTTTGTGGGTGCAAGGCGGTTGCATCGGGCAGTGGCGTCTGCAATAGCTTCGTTCAATGAGGGTACTTGTCACATTACTCAGGTAATGAACAAGCTTGCAATAGAAGCTAATGAAATAACAGCAGCTTCTGTTGAAAGACTTGATAATGTGAGAACCCTCAAAGCAAGGAAGCAAAGCCAGGAGACATCTAAGATGGAACGTAGTGCAAAGTGGGAGGCTAAAAAAAGGGACCGAGTTCATGTTGACGCAGCTGAAGGCTTGTTGTATGGTGCTGGGGAGTTTTAAGTCCTGTTATTTCTTTGTACATGCATTGTTTTATGTATCTTGAATACATCCCATCAGTAAACTAAGATTTTGTAAGTGTTTAATAGGTGCTTTAGGAAGAAAACCATATACAAACTTATTTCCTCATTTTCTCCATTAACGTCATTTCGGATCTTAGTGAACATAGATCTCAACCGTTATTGGCCCGATTTGAATGAAATTTGGTGTACATATAGGCAGAGGATTACTTTACACAATAACAGAGAGACTTTTTAAAATTTGTTGGCCATTTTTATTTTAAAAAATAAATTATGTGTAAAAATCAACCTAAAATATGTGAAATTTTGAAAAATTATTTTAAAAATATATACCAGTCTTTTTTTAATTTTTCTTTCTGTCATTGTACCCAACACCATACAAGCTTTGTTATACAATTGAAATTATATAAATATCTTTATTGGTCTTAGAGAAAAACTGAAACTCATTTCTATCTTTTTCAGGCTTGCGGCGGCCATCTTGGATGTTTCCATGGCAACCGGTGGCAACATCACCTGGAAAAGACTCCATTTCAATTGTTAATATGTATACCTCAAAGTTGTAACCAATTAAAACTAACAAATACTTGTGAAGCATTTTGTCAATTGTAAGGTGCAGTGTCTGGCCTTAAGCAAACAAAGTTTGGTGTCACCAATGTTGGAACCAATTTTCTTCTCTATCGCTTTTCCTCTGACAACAAATTTAACTTGTGCCTGGTGTTTGTACCCCCATTGTCAATTTCCCATTAACCGGGGCACTTATTATGGCGAATATGACTCTAACATATTGCCTCTGAAATGAAAGTTGGTTTACATTTTGTTTGAACTCTTCATTTTCAGGAAAAATCTATATTTGGCAAAGCATTATACACTTGATTGGGAGCTCTTGGATATTTTTATTTCAGTACATAGTCTTATGAGACACTAGCCCTCTTGTACCTATCCAAATATGTCAGAGTGGGTATATGTGTATATGGAAAAAATGCCCGTATACCATGTATACCAATGTTAAAACTGCTATATCAAACCATTGTTGTTGGGGCTAGCATAGCCTTGCTTCAAGTCTGTCCTGAATAAGTCCATGGATGTGTAGTAATTCTAACCTTTTAATAGGCAAGTCTATGGGGACAGTACTCTAAGGATGCCAGTTGTTTATGGGGACACCTTGTTTTTATTATTATATAGTCTGGGAATTATGGTTTAAACTAATATTCATTGCTTTAGAGACTTGTGTAGGTCTAGGGTTATCAGTATATATACTGAACCACAAAAGAAACATCACCATGGATAGATATATGAGAAACTGTATTTGTCCAAGCACTGTAAACATACTTTGAGACATATTAAAAAGATGAAACTTGGCTAAACTGATCATCATGGTTGAAATTAAAGTGTCAAATGTTCTTAACTGAAACACAACACTAGTCTCTGAGAAAACGGCATCACAAGTCAGTATCTCTTGTGTCCGCCATTTGCATTGATGACTGCCGTCCAACGTCGATACATGGAATGGATGAGGCGGTTGATGAATATTGATTATACTGATTTCTATGTGTGGTATATCTGATATTGGTTACGTCATTGATGGGTGTCTAGCGTGTACTTGATGCTGTGTAGTGTTGAAGCACTGGAATGTGGGCTATATACTGATTTCTATGTGTGGTATATCTGATGTTGGTTATGTCATTGATGGGTGTCTAGCTTGTACTTGATGCTGTGTAGTGTTGAAGCACTGGAATATGGGCTGTATACTGATTTCTATGTGTGGTATATCTGATGTTGGTTATGTCATTGATGGGTGTCTAGCTTTTCCTTGATGCTGTGTAGTGTTGAAGCACTGGAATATGGGCTATATACTGATTTCTATGTGTGGTATATCTGATATCCCTATACTGTAAACAATTGTGTTGTTCTATCGCGTTCTCAGCGTTGAGTCGTTCATAGTCCGCGCCTTGATAGTGTGTCCATCAAATAACGCCGTGACAATCCCAACTCACTCATTCACTAATGAAATAGTTACAGCTTTTAAAACGATTTATTGTGGACACATTTCTATATTTAACTCATGAGAGACAAAAATGATGGACGATACAATTCCCTGTTTTGACTTGTACCAGATGTCCTTGTGTTTTTGGGTGAATCATTGACTTGCCTTTGCATGTATTTGTGACGGATGCCACCAGTGAATGTTGTTTGAATGGACGGAAGAAAGGTGGTCATCGAGGACGCCATGTTGTTGGATGCTGGAGCGGCGTCAGGGTCGGGATGCATTAACTTATCAAAAGATAACTTCACAGCGAGCTGAAACAGAAGGGGTAGACACACTGTCCATGTTCAGACAAATTGCAGTCATTAGAACAGCATTAGCCACTAATTCTGCTATCAAGATTTTATTCTTTGTCGGTTATCAACACCGTTAAGGTTCTTTTTTGTATTTAGTTTCCGATTAATTGTGTCAATCTTATAATGGACCCATTTGGATTCTCGAATTGCCTTATCTAGCCCAACGAGATAGTCTCCGTCGAGGCAAAAAGTTTCAATTCAGAGGAAATTACTCTTGAAAGCAAAAAAATTAGTACACAAAAATGTAAAAGTGATTTTTGAAATGTGTCTATTTTTGTGCCTTCCAGCGTAATAGATATGTTCAAGGCTTTCCAAAGGAGGAGAAAGGTTTTTGCTAAAGCAGATATTCATTTGTATTGATACGCGTCCAACACATACATGTACATGTAGAGCGATTAGTTGTAGTACTCTGAGACTCGGGTGACGTAAGCCGGTTCAGAACAAAATCGATAAAGTGAACTCATGTGCCATGCATCTCAGGAACCCCGATATTCATCACATTTGACGATGAATGGCGTTTTGTCAGATCGCCAACTAATTGTCTTTGAAATATGCTCTAGTCCTCTAGAGCCAATTTAAGTTCCCTATATGACAAATAACAAGCGATCACCTCGGTAAGAGAGAGTTCTGCTCTTCGTAATGTTTAAATTACTTTCTGAGTTTACCGTGAATAATATTACAAAGGTTAAGACGGTAATACCACGTCACTTTCTGTTTGTGTCACTAACGTCAGTCAACGTTAAACCACGTCACTTTGTGTCGCTATCGCCAGTCAACGTTAAATACGTGGGCATATAAAGTATTAAAAGTTTACCATATCCCAACAGTTTTTGTCAAAGCAGATTTTATTGTCAGATGCAATTACGGGTTTAAAGTGAGTTTTCCTTATTTAAACCTTGAAGATTCTTCAACATTCTAAAACATCAATTACCACAACGTTCTTCGAAAGTTGATTATTCGAGAAATGCAACTGACAGTTTTAACTGTGTAAAATAATCAACAAAGGCACAGCAATGTTCTCGTTGGCACGTGTATTGAATTTGATATGCGACAAGAAGGTGGTCATATATATGTAAATGATATCCTGAAAGAAATCACTTGACAATTCAAAGTTAACGATTTTTGTTATTTTGAATTGATATTTTGTAGGTTTTAAATGTTATTCAAATTGTGTCACATTTTATTTATTAGTCAATAGCATCTCTCGATCGATAAGCTTTGTCTCTCTATTAGTTTTTTTTTATACCAATTCAAAACCGTAAACATGCCACGCAATTTCCCCGATCTCTGCACATTGACGTGCGATTCACAGACCACCAAAGTACACTGTTTGCTTTGTTTGGTTTTCGATCCCTGATTTATATTTCAAAGAAGAAACAAAATACATTTGTCAGTTTCATTCATTTCTTTTGCGACCTGTCAGACCCAGATTCAAGATGGCGCCACATTTCAGTCCACCCATTGTCCTCTCTTGTCAGCCAAACGAGAGACAATTCCAACACTCCAAGACTTCCAGGAAACGAAGGGACAGCGCTCAGGAACACCCGTCTCGCTTAGCCTGTCTCTGAGAACCCCATTGTGAAGTTCGCAACGGTGTATCAATCACACGAACACATGTAATGCCTATTCAACTCGACCAAACACAGCATAATGGCTTCATCTAAATCCTGTCAGCCGAATCTTTTCGCATTTACTTCTAGGTGAATCATAAAGAGTTTGCTTTTAACTTTTTGTCTAATTCCGGCTTGTATGCCGTGCAAGTTTATAGATCCCGTCAAATTAGCGGATCCTTTTATCCCCGTAAATGATTTTGCTTTTACACAGGTAGAGCCACATTCATCGAGGGCTTATGGAACACGATGAACACTCGCTCTGTAATGGGCAGATTAGAAAGATGCTTTCAAGCCGTGGTGGTAGTATTGACTTAATGTAGGCAGGAATCAGAAAGACGTATCTACAGGAAGGTACGAACAACCTTTACCAAAGAGAGTGTAGTCGGAACATAATAGGATCATGGACTTGGAATAAGATACACATCTCTACGCGCAGTGATGGGTAAATAATACGTAGGTTCGCCTAACAACGCGGAGTGGTACAACAATGCATGCACTAAAGCCCCCTGGCGGTCAGCGGAAGCACTACACTTCTGTCGCGTGGTGATTAATGTATTACAATGGAAATCGGGTTTAATGAATAGACGGTCGGAACTAATGCAGAAGGACTAATGTTTGGAAGAATGGAAACAGAAAAAAAATTATATTGAGATTAAAAGTTTTTATTCGGAAATGCATGCTGGAGTGAGAGATACTGGTCTAATTAAAATGCCGAGAGACACCCGATTCGTGCCTGTCACATGAAAAAAGATGATAGACAATATTTTAAACAAAATTAAAGCGTCACAATGGACTTCTTGCAGACACGTTTTTTGCCTGGCAACAAACACATATTTTATTGTGTGAATGGCGGACTACAGATTGGGCAGAACATGCTAACCACGATGTTAGACCTGGCGTCATCACTGATTTTTAGGCATCCATTCGTAACATTTTCACAGGCATTTTGCCTTTTACGCCCTATGGAATCTGTTTTTATAGGGTTTTAAACCTTTTATTCATCCGTGACTCACTTTAAAACTTTGGGTTGAGACACCAGGTGTTCGGGCAACGGATGACTCGTCCTTACTGCAGAAGTTATGTATGGCTCCGCTGGAGTGGTCTAGTGGATACAGCGTCAGTCAGAGAGCGGAACGTCGGTGGCTGGAT